GTCTATCTCTCTCTCCCTCTCTGGCGTCTAGACTTGTCGGATTACACATTCCATGTCAGCTGTGGCATTGCCCCATCAGCAAGCGATTGTTGGTGGAGACGGAGTCCCCTTACCAAGTGCCAATCTCTCTACCAAACTGGTAATTTGGCATCGCTGTCCCGATTCACCGTTTAATTGCCACCCCTAATGTGCTCGGCCTCCATGGTCAAACGAGTCGCCTTCACGAGGAACTAAAGTCGATTTAGCTTTTGCATGATCACATGCAGCAGAACTAACGGAAGCATCAATTGTACTGAGAAATTCTTCTAAACACTGCCCAATTGAAGTCGACAGCATTCCTTTTTTCTCAAGTACGCTCTAATTTGAGGCCCACAGAACACCCTGGTAGTAGCCAAGTGATGGAAGCATCGTTGCGGCGTCGCTGGACGCTGAGTGTGCTTGCGGCATTTGAAAGCTGCTCGACTAAGTTGCAGCCGAGCAGCTCATGAAGGCGGATGACATCCTCGCCAAACGCGGCGTCAATTGGAAGTGCGTGGTCCTCAAACCGACTTGCGTGGCACGACTCCAGGCAGAAAGGAAGACATGCCGCTGAAGCTCTGCTGTTTGCACAGCAGGCAGCACAGTCTCAATAATGTGACCAGTAAATTACTTGGACCGATTTCATGGGAAACATTTTCCCCTATTAAGTTGTGGAGCTCTTTGGGTTAATTTTGATCACATATGTACAACACATTCCTAGCAAAATCAAAGCTCATATTTCTATTAATATGTCCGGGACTTTTATTGTAAATAATTATTAATTTCCTGCTTTAGGCAAAATTTTTTCCCCAATTAAATGGAGTGAAAATTTAATAGGAATTACAAATAATGAAATATGATGGATAAGGTGAACACATAACTTCTATACCAACGGCCACAAAAATAACAACGAAGCTCAATATTCCAGAAGTGCGAAATTTATTACCGTGCAATTTAACAGACAATTTAAAACACTACTGATATGTCAATTTCGTGTTCATAAATGCAGAAAATGAGATTGCACACTGGCCTCATAGCAGCAGCCCATAAATTAACAATAGACGCCGAAGTGTTTTGAAAACAGAGCATTTTGCTTAGCCTAACGATGCTAGTCTGGTTCACGCGTTGCTTGAACGGGTGAACTACGTTAGTTTTGCATCTGATCCCTGGTTTGATCGAAATGGCAAAGTTGGCATTTTGTGGGAACAGTGACGAGTGCATCCATGTTTTAACAGAGGTGTTTCATAAGGACTTGGAGCAGATGTGCGTCGCGTTCGTGTGTGCACAAAACAGCGACGTCGTCGTCTTGCCGCCCTCCTGCCCGCCCACCCGCCCGCCAGCCATCACAGTCCCCACCACACCACACCCTTCCTCCGACGCCTCTCTGCCCTCAGCTCCTCTAAAGGGACTTTGTAGACGTGAAAAAAGGATGCAGGGGCAATCAGACACAGCAGACATGCTGGCAATAAAAAGTTGAAGAAGTCGGACACTAATCGATAATTTGGTAAACTCATTAATATTTCCCCAGCGCGCGTCTGTGAGAAGGGAGGAGAATGGCTCGTCTTGGCACGAGAGAGAGAGAGAGAGGAGAGAGAGAGAGTCAGTAATTATATCACTAATTCTGTGGAATTATCTTATCAACTAGTGGACAACATTGTCAAGATGTAAGCTCAATGGCTGTGTCAGCATTCCTTTTTACCAAATCACTTTAGTGGGTAGGAGTTTCTTTTATTTAGCCTGCGGTAAACTTGGCTAGTTTGTAAGGCCTTTTTGCTCCACGTAGTCATGGTGTATCCACACGTAAATTGCCCTTCGTCGACAAGACTAACAGAAACTCTTGATGTGGCTATTCAATCAAACGCAACTTGTCGTTGAGAAATCCAGCTAGTTGGATTTCTTCTTCAACCTTAATGGTCATAATAGTGGAAAAATAATGTCGATAGGGGAACCTCAAGCATGTTCCGCTACCAGATCACGCCTGCTTGCTAAAATTTTTTTCTACAAATGCTTTTTTAAGACAACAGGAATCACACATAGACCCCACTGCTTTGCCCACGCACGCCCTAAAATGATGGCACTCCCTCCGAGTAAATTTGTTTGACTCGGTGGATTTTACTCAGACTTAAACCCAAATATTACGAGGGTTTAATCAGGAATGAGTTCTCAATAGATTCGTGGGTCCAACTATTCAAAATAAACTGGTGTTAAGCAAGAAGTTGTAGAGTCCATGCGCTGCCTCCGCCGCTGTACATTGAAACGAATTGTCGATTTCGGAGACAATCTGCCAGCTCCCATCACGGCTAGCAGCAAACTGCATTACGGCGAAACCCCTCAGAACAAAGCAGAACTCATGAAAAAAAGACAAAAAAGGCGAGTCAAATCGGGGAACCTGCATGACATTTCAGCCTAAAACCTGTGATTTCGGGATGCTTCGGGCGTTTACAAATACTCTCACGAGTAGTGTTTTTTAAGGCTGTTAAGATTTTTCTCGTTTTGAAGCATGTGTGAAGGCCATACCTTTGAGTAGAAAAAGTCTTATTTCCTCTAATTACTTAGGTAATTCGGACCAGCTCAGATAAATTAACACCCAATGCAGGATGTGGGCCAGAGAGAGGGAGAGAACAAATGCGGTTATGACGGCCGCTTCCCAGTAGCTCCCTCTTCGTAGAGGCTCAGCAGGTAGCGGACGCTGCAAAGTTGTTTCTAGGTCTCGTAATGTGGGTGATTTCTAAAATACTACCAATCAACTATCTGAGATTTCTCTTGGAGGAGTAACGAAAACATCATTAGGACTGCCAGAGGATATTTGAAATATTTGTTAAGTATCCGTAAACATAGTCCCAAGGTGCTGTGTGGGCAAAAACAAGATCAAAGTTACCTAACTTCAAAGAAATCATTTTAATTTTCAAACAAGCAAACGTGGAAAATAATACCTACTTAAAGCCATCAGTAGCATCAGTTGTTAGTATAAAATTATATTTGGTTAGGAACTTTTGGTAAGCAACCGCGAGGTTTTGTGGAAGGGCGAGTATTGAATTTTGGCGATTACATGGCCAAGTGATGTTTCTGGGCCACCCCAAGTTGTCTACTCCCGAACAACAAATTTTGCCATCTAAACATTGGCAGTATGAAGGAGCGTTAAATCCCAATCAACCTCAGTGAGCGAATGTGTACGTGCACTGTAAAGCTCTTTCGGACTGGTTTTCGTCGAATTAAACACGTTTGTGCGTGGAAATCTACAAGAATCGTCAACTAAAGAGGTCACATTTGCCGCGAAATTCGCCTTGCATCACAGAAATGCGCTTGTATGAAGAAGCTGCGCAGGTTACAGTGGCATCACACATGTCTCCATTAGTTCATATCTGAACGTAAAACAAGAAACAAAGATAATAGTCTAACGCCGTGAATGAGGAGTAGAATTTGTTCCATTTAACATTAATTTTGTGTGCGAGAATAGAACGTCTGTAAATTCAAAATGCGCCAAACGGAAACCCTCCTCTTCTCTCAATGCAGCCCGTCAAGTTAAAATAGTGGCAGTCAAAAAATGCACACGATTTAGACAAACCGATGATGGCATTCATGTGGAGCTTGTTCGTCAAAACCTAAGTCATGATTCTCGGGAGATACACTGGGTCATTTCGAATGAAAACACATTTAACCTATTCCACGAATTCATTCCTAGACCGGACATATTAACTACTTTAGGAAGTCGTTATTGTGGTAGAGATACCTTGTAAAGACCTTTAACACAGCCAAGTGGTACACCAAACGTCAGGAGTGTTTGGTTATTTTGTCCCAGTGACCGTTTACTTCTCGTGTTTACAAATCGACGAGTGAGTGGTGTCGAAAGTTGCAGCCGAAAAGTCGAGGGCCCTTGGTCATAACGATTTCGATCTAACCGTTTCGTTGGTCGATGACCAAAAATAAGGGAATAAATATAAATAAAATGTATTAGTAATGAGTATTAAAAGGACAGCAGATTGTTTGAGAGAGACGTTACTGGGCGTTTTCTCTGAAGCGTCGAAGAGCAGCCTCGACGGCGCGTCGGCGCGGCTCTTCACTCTAGAAGTGACAATGCAGACACTTGCTTAACTTTTTTAAAAAATCACCACAAAACCGCTAGCGATGTCCTCATTTTTTTAAAAAAATATTCCATTGCTATGTCTAAAGTCTACCAGATCTGCTGCCACGTGTACTACGCCACACTCTGCAGCCTTTGGTAAGCGGAAGAAGTCCCGACGTGAAAGACCAGACGGGCTCACCGTTTGGGCCTCCGAATGAGGCTGGGCGTGCGACGCTTCAGAGTGCAGTTCTGACGGAGTGATTGACAGGGAAATCACGCCTTGGCACAGATCTTCCCCAAGCGGAAACAAGAACGTCTCCTGTGAATTCGTTCCCCTCGGTCTGTTCGGGCAGGCTGAGTGTCCGCAGAATCTGTGCGCGGAGGTGTACGTTGTCAGGCACTCCCCGGATCTGGCGGCCTTGAATTACCAAAACGGCTCAAGTTAACCAAACTGACTCCCGTCAGACGAAGATGGTTGTTGTTGTAGACATTGTGTATAAGGATGACAAGAATTATCTGGCGATAAGTAACACGTAAATGATATTGTAGGTTATTACCTCACTTGTTCTAACCTCCGTTGACTGTCTTTCAATGAATCGAAGACGTCTAAGACGGCTGGCTCGGTTCTCTTGGGGCCCAACACCATTCGCACGACGGCTGAGTCTTTCACTTGTCTGGCGCTTAAATTAACGCAAAATTGACATCACAAAACGGCTTGCATTTAAAAAATGCAGAATTGGAAACATAACATTTCGCCTTAGAGAAAAAGTGCATTTTATCTTCCCCCCCCCCCATGGTCATGGCAGATCAAGTGGTAATCTGATAAATAAGACAATTTTATTCCTAACCTTAGTCGTGATCATGAGCGATTTTAAAATCTAACATAATCAGAGTATAGTTCACTAAACTGTCACTACTCAACTTGGGTTCCACATGAAAACACATCACGCCACTTAATTGTGATAGATTTTTAGTCCTGACAGTGATTTTAAAACTAAGAAATTAAAAGAATATAAGCAATAAGAAAAGTTGGGTGGCTATATCTAAGGACAACCGCACTGCAAAACATTTGCGCGCAAATTCCTCTAAAGGTCCGTTTAAGATATGCTAGTTGGCGAACTCAATAAGAGACAAACTACTTCTCTCCAAGTAAATTTGCAAAGGCATATCAGAAGTAAGAGCGATTTCGACTGGTTAGGCAAAGAGCTTTTTTACATCAGTAGTTGAGGTCGACGCGTGAGCCTGTCGCGGCCGAGTGCTCCTGGCGACATTCGCGGGAGCTTCGCGGTTGGCTCGTGACGACTCCTGGAGACGGGCGTCGGCCGAGTGCTGGCGTCCGAGTTGCTCATACAGTGGGACTACCTTTCCCCGGCAAGTTGGGCAGTTATCAGCAGTGCGAAGCCACGTGTCGATGCACTGCACGTGAAAAAAGTGCCGACAGGGCAAGTGACGAACACGATCTCCTGGCTCGAACTCAGCTACATGGTGCAAAAATAAAGGCAATTGGGCCTTTCAATTCAGAGGCTTAGTTTTAAATAAGGAGCTAAAGTCATATACATTATTTCCAGAAAAACTGTACCACATCGCATTTAAACTTCGTACCACGATTCTTAATTAAAATTTTAGCTTGTGTTATCAAAACCATAATTATCTAACACTCAAAAGATTTTACAGCAATTTTTAACACAACATTGAATATTTTAGAGGTTATTTTACATGTATATTCTACAATTACACTATATTTAGGAAGAAATATAAGAGGTTACAAAATAAATACCTCAATATTTCCTCGATGTTAACGTCAGTGCCATGTTTGACCAAGAAATTCAAGGCAAAAACATTGACAAGCTGGCGAAGATTATGTAAGGGAAATACATGATCCTTGAAGACAGCTGAGACCGCTTTCTGTTAACCTATTAAACCTGCTATTGGACCATCGCAAAAGGCCCAGTGAAATCATTTGAAGTACATCTACATTTGAAGGGACAATTACGCATCATCTGCTATTTTACACTAATGTTTGATTACTGCTTTCCTACCAAGTTGAACTGAAACAACTTCTTCTCTCACTTATGTAAAATTTAAAAAAAAAACAAGTCAAAGTAATAGGAGATCCAGCGTCTTTTTGCATTTATTGGCTAGGAATCTGTTCCGTGAAATGTGAAAATCGAAATGTTCCAGTTCTGCAACTCACTGAAGTTTTAGGTCTTAAACACTAATTTAAAGTGACTTGAAACTTTAGCAAAAGTGGTTATTGAAAAGCAAGTGAAAATATTTCACAAAACGTTCATAGTAAGCCCAGTTATGTTGCTGAAGCGACCAACGGCACTTATGTTAGGATTCTCAGCATAAAAAAAATAAATAGGGCCATGTGAATATGTGCAAGTTTACAGAGATGTAGTCATCTAAAAATAACATAGTGAAGGAACGTTTCACTTGCCTAGACAAATGACACACTCAGGGCGACCACGTGACGGAGACGCCATGGGCTGGGTGGAAGGGATAAACGAACTGATTGAGGTGTTATCTGGTACCAATTTAATGCCTAATTTTCTCTTTTCCTATTAGAGTCACTTACTAGAATCGGAGTCACTGGCACAAACTGTACTCACTGGGAGATCAGCTAGAATTAGGCGTGAAATCGGGGTCATTCGTGGGTTTTGAACAGTTGTTCCCCGGTTGTACCAGGAAGAAAAATGTTCAGTAGTATCTTCGTTTCTAAAATATAATATGGCAAGTGTCACAAATTTAGAACTATTTACACTAATTGCACAAGCAAGACTAAGGCTTTTTAGGTCACAAATGCAGTTTTGAATCAACATGAAGTCTTCTAGTATTCACACAGGTCCAAACAATGACAAGAGCTTAGACTTTACTAATGATTTACTGACAGGATTATTTTCCAGTCATTTACCAAGTATGATGGATCTTAAAAAATGTAATGCTCATTTAACATTGAAAAGGGTCTGTTAGAATAGCAATTAATTTTTAGTTTATATTATAAAGTAGGTGTCGTGCGCGAAATTAAAATAAGGCCCTGCGATCAGAACCATCGTAAGGTTCACTAACAATCCTTACACAATACCTTTGCAATAAAACGAACGCAAAATAACATAAATCCTAGATCTAAGTTGCGATACTGTTTACCATGAAAAAAAATGTGAAGAGGAAGGTTGAGCCCTGACGTACACGCCGTGGAAGGGGAATTGGGGATTTGGTATATATCTTATTTGCCAATACGTAAAATCCAGAGGGTTTCCTAATGTCAACTGCTCGTTTTCAGTCTCCTCCATTAAAAATATTTCAAAATGACATCAACTCATTCCCCTTCTAGGTCGACATTTACAGTACACCTGATTCAATTAAACAAGCTGTTAAAAAAATCTAAGTCATAATTCAAGTGTACTATATTATTACTACTAATATAGTATTTAGAGGGTTACATGATGTCAGCATTTAAACCTCAAAGTATCATGTCAGATTGATTACAAAGGATGAAAACAAATATTTTTTAAACTCCACTAAATAGCACAAGCTTTGGGTGCATCAATGACAAAATTAGTTCAGATAAACCAAATATAATTCAGGTCACTAGGCGTTTGTTTTTCATAATTTGACAAACCGAATTTGTTAAAAACAATCACAGTGCATTAATGTGATATTGATTTCTGTCAAAAATCCATAGTAAATTATTTGGTTGTTACAACTTAGTTAGACTACTATTTAAAAACTATTAAAATGTCTTACTTTTATTAATTACAATTATAAAATTCAGTTATGTTTGCGTCAAGGTTACTCATTGAGCGCGTGAATAAAAACGGTGGTAATCGGATTGTGTGTCTAATGTTCCCTTATCGCGATGACACCTTTCTTATGCGAATGCCAAGAATATCACAGGAAATATTTGGTCGTGAAATGTTTCCGTCATGGAGACTTTTTAATGCGATTAATTGTCCATCCGCATCAATAAGCCACTTACGTCAGACAATGGATGAATTTTTTCGCCAAGCGTCCCGCACCTTTTTCTTTGAACCAAGTAACGGAGGCTACCCTGCCAACCTAAATATTTGGTAGGCTTTTATCTGTTAACTCAAAATTCCGTCCTTTCTCTTATTTCTACAAACGCAGCCTTCATAGGTCACTTTTGATATGACCTTAGAAGCCATTCGAAACCGACATAGTTTTTGTTTTAGTTTTCTGTAATGTTATTTAGCCTCACAACTATTTTAGTTAGACTGTTAGTCATTTGGCAAAGTTGCTTGATCTAATTTCCAATACAGGCCTTACAGGTATTTGTTTTGGGATGAATCGTAATTCGAAACTCAGTCGGTTTTGCATTCTAAATCAGAAATCCGTTCCAATGCCTAAGATAAATGTAGTGAATTTGTTGTGTTATAATTGTGCATTCTAGTACCGACAAAGTTCTCCTAAATACAGCATTTGTCTAGATCTTATAAGATGTGGAAATCTAATTATTCTTTTGATTCCGTACCCACATAGAAGGAGTTTGAACTGTGCCGCATGTAGAATCCAAAACTAACACATTGATCCATCTCTATTTCTTTATAAAATGGTATCAATTATAATCTCTGTTCTACAAATAAATTCAAATGTTCGCAACAAAGCTATCATATATTTAATTTAATATATTTGTTGTGCAGGACTCTTGCAACAGAAGTACTGACATTTTAAAATGAAGTTTAAGGAGCTGAATAAATTACCCCTGAGAATGCGAAGTACCACTTTATTTTCTAAAGCGGCCGTCAGAGTTCACATATGTAGGATCTGTTGACCTAAACTTTTAGATAAATCCGTTTCCTTGCTCTCCATTAAAGTTCGATCGGTGGAAACAATATACCAATCTGTCGTCCCCGACGGAGACTGCAGGCGCATGAGTCAAACACTCGTAGACATGCTTCCCAACCGCCAGCACAATTTCAACCATCTCGTCGAGCTATTCATTACTTAGATCAGCTTCCGATTACCACTGTCCGGGTTCGCGAAGTAATTCAACAAAGAGCGATCGACAATAATCACTCGTCATGGTAACCAGTATTTTTTATTGATTTCACTCGGTTTAACACAGCAACCTGTGCTCGATGACTCTATCTATGCGCCTTGGCTTTAACAGCTGGTGTCTAATTTGTATGGGTACCACACTGAAAATTATCTAGGTTTTCCACTTAGTAATTATCAATTCCGTGAAATTTGACTTTTGTTATTAATTTTTTTTATTTACGGGACAACCGGTATACATCTTACATTTGAAAATACGCGTCGCTATTTGCTTTGTGGCTACTTTTTTCTGTGAATTGATTGAACAGCAATTATTTTTTAAAAAGGCATCAGTAAGGCACAGAAATGTTATGTGACTTCATATCTGATATTTCGTATGATGTACTGCAAATTGGTCCACCACTAGATCTGCTTACTCAAAAAGGGTCAAAATTTGCACGATTCTAACCTCAGTCTGTCATTTTATTTATGCTTCCGCTGGCTATGGATGAAAGGCTCACATTTTTCTCATACTTTGTAAACAAAATGAACAGAACAAAAACTGTTTAAAAAAACAGAGCTTAATGTTATTGTTAATTTCTTTGATTTTCGCCCGTCCGCTGCTGCAAGAATCTGTGTAATTTAATCATTTAAGCTCAATCATTCAGAAATCTGTTAATTATTCGACAAATATGTGTTCCAAATGTCCTAACCTTAAAGCGTTCACTATTTATGTTCCATTTTTGTTGTTTTTTGACCAACATGACAAAATGCAGGACCATAAAATGGAAATAACAGCAAACATAAGTACCCGTCTTTTTCTGATTCTTAGTCCTTCGACGAGTGGCTTACCCGACCCAGAGCCATGCGACACTACGACTGGCTCTTCGGAAGCGCCTTCCACTCAAACGAAATTGCCTGCCTTCACCGAGTATACCCTTGTCATTGACAGAAAAGCAGCAAATCGGATGCGCCATCTGATACCACTTCAGCCATTATGTGTAGGACCAAACGGCCGGAAACCAGAGTGTGATATTTGTCTGTGTAAGTTGGTTTCGCTGACCCAGAGCATTATTTGGCATTGTGGTGACAATGGTTACCTCATGAGCGCTCATCTGCACTTCACTGCCTGTGCGTCTCTACTCTAAATATGGGGATTTTTCCATTAAGGAATAATCAAAATTCAAAAATTAAGTTTTTTGGAACTTAGTTGTTCGATAGGTTACACCCTCAAATCGGACGTCCGCACTATCCATTATTACCGGTTTAATTAATCTTCATCTGTTGCATTTCGTAGCTTCATGGTTGTGATTTCGAATGTGTTTACGCTTAATCTCGAATTCATTCATTCATGCAAGCCATCATAAAGCCCTTTGCCAGCGATACCGGACATTCGACCGACTTTCGAAGTGGTCCTCTTGAGCTGCTCTCGCAAGACCTTGCTTATTACCCCTTTCTTGTTGTCTTCTTGCGTTTCACGACTAAGGTTCCATATATATCTCTCGAAAACCTGAAAATTTGCCTTCATACACAGGAAGTACAAGTCGTTATATTACATATGAGTATTCATTTGTTTGTTATTCGTGGCAGAAGCGCTATCGGAGCCTAAACCACCGTAGAAATGTCGATTCTTGTGGATTAATTCTCAAATTGTCGAATCTTTTCCTTCCGCCATGTAGCAGAGTATGAGTCGGGGCACAAGCTGCGCCATCTTCCCTGTGGTCATGGTTTTCACCAAAAGTGCATCGACACCTGGCTCAGTTCGGCTGACACGTGTCCCAAGTGCCGCAAGAACGTAGTCGGCACCCTAAGAAGACTGGAGTCAGCAGAGACGCGTCTGCGATCCCAGTCCAAGGGAAGGCCTCTTCCTGCGTCCATGCGACAGCCGCCTGCTTCTCGCGCCACCTCGGCAGCTGGCAACACCGGTGATTCTGTGAGCAGTAAATAATGTTCCCTTGTGCGAAAAGTGATTTTGAACCAGTCAAGCATTGACTGCGGGTGATAAATTTACCTGATTTGAGCATTCGCCTCTACTTGCAGCTTTCTTCTCAAGGCCGATAAGCCTGTCACCCGAGTTGAAAGCGCTGTTCATGTGTGAGCAGCTCGTAGAAGTAAGTTAAGACAGACATCCTAATGTTATGAAGTCGTAAAACTGTCTAAGCACTCTGGAAATACGTCAAACTCCTCCCATCAAGTTCCAACCTGCCTTCTCACGTCCACAGATGAATCGAAACACCTCTGCCCAGTGTTTGTGGTTGTTCGCCTTCGTCTAGCAGCAGGCGTCAATACATGATGCAGAATTTCGTCGGTCGTTATCAGTGATTACTAATTAGCATTTGTGTCTTTTAAACATATCCATTTGATTTAATGACTCCAGATAAAAAAAAAAGAATTTCCCGGAAGAATCAATCAGTTATAAATTATTCACTCATGGAATAATTTTTAGACATAACAGTCGTCATAATTTTATCCTGACCTCAAAATGTTTTTTTTCGAGACTAGGTTGAAGAGTGGTGTTATTACGTAACACTTCTTAACACCCATCATTTCATCCGCCAATTCCATATGGGTTGTTTTAAATACAAATTACATGTTTGAACCACAGGTTTGGGTTGGGACCCCTAGATAGCAATTTCACAAAAAAACATGGCCAGAAAACCTCGGTTTAATTGTGATGATCGTAATTAAATCACAAGGGCAAATTGGATGAGCCACTCCGTTGAAGCATATCGCAATGTCTTAGACGGGGTCAACATGTGTAGGTCGTAATCTGTGGTCGTTTTGAGGTGAGGAAGAGTTGGCCTGCACTGCTTTCACTGTGGCCGAATCTATTGTCTTCACGGGTGATCAAACGTTTTGTCAATTAATTTCCCCAAAGATACTGTGCCGAAGTAAGTGTTTAAGGTTCTTTTTTCCTGTTCGACTGCCTACTTTGAAAGTAGCCCAGGAAGACGCGACACGGGGTCGCCGTGACTCAGACACGCTCGAGCATCCTTCGTAACCAGCTGGCCGAACAGCGTCGAACGACTTCGCAGACCTCCACATCGACGCCTTCGACGTCAGCAGCCGTCAAGCCCACCACCCTGAGAGGGAGCAAGGCGCAGTCGATGCCGCCCCTACCGAAGCCCCAGGCGGCCCACACCAGCTCCACGCCGCCTCTCAACACCACAAGCAGCCAGGTGGCGGACTGTAGCGAGACCCAAGTCGAACTGGCCTCCGAATCCGTGGACATAAGCCTTCCTATCGTCCCGGTGCCACCGAGGCCTCCACGAAGAGTGCTTCACGTTGCCGACAGGAGTGAATTGGACAAAAAGTTGGTCAGTTTTTTCCCCATTGTTTCCTGTCGTTTTCTCGACATTCGAACAATTCTATTATCATCTCGGCCAATGGATAATCTTGTATCTACTTTTTCGTTTAGTCATATTTTAAACGTGCAGTCTTCTTGAGGTCCTTAATTCACAATGTGGAACAATAATGTATTTCTCTTTCTAGCGACATATTTAAGCGCTTATTCGAAAGTTGGCAAACCGTAATTACGTGATCTTATAGTCTATTCATGCTCTTTTCAATTTGTTATCAGCGTTCAACAACACACTAGTGTTCTGTCCTGGCGTAGTTGTTTTCAGCAGAACAGAGTTCGCTGACATTTCGCATGACCTCGCCTTGTAACCGAAAAGCCTATTCCAAAAAGGTCTAAGGGAATTGGAGGAAGTTTTTCATTGACGTTTTCACTGATTTCCTGAGAACATTACGTGGTTTCGAGTGCATTTGGGCACGCGACGACCAGGGAGCCGAAACACGCCCCAACACGCTGCTCACACCTGACACCCAAGTCACTGCAGGAGAAGCTAAGAGAAGTCAAGTATTCGAACTCAAGAACGCTCGCTCGTGTCTACTAAGAACGCTCACGCCCACTTGAGACGTGATCCTGCTGAGCCCGCCTCAGCCGTCGTTCGGCGCAGCATCTCGCGGAGCTCAAATCGCTAATCCACCGTACAAGATTTCTTTGAATGCTTTTTTTTACAAAGGAATTCTTATTTGCACTTTTTCTCTGGTTAATGACCTATAATCTAAAGCTGACTTCGTTTAGTCAATCATTTAAGGCCACCGAATTTGCCAAGGGCCTTTAAATTGATGGAATTTTTTGCTTATTTGTACCTTTGGTAGGCTATGTTTTACAGTTTACTCATTTATTAAAAGTAGAAAAAATTCAACGACCTAATTTCCGTATACAAGTTCACCGAAGTCTGTTGACTACGTTGAAAGTCGTTTTAAGCAGATCAGTCGACGGTCACACCTTTATCTGCTGTTTCAATAGTATTGCTAACTTCCTATGCCTTTTTCTTTGGGAGTGCATGCACTCGTTGCTTGAAGGTCCAGTCCACAGAAGACCCGGCCACTAATTTAAGTCATTGTAATCTGTGTACTAATGTTTCTTGCACATACATCCCTTTACGTTTTACTAAATTTACCTAAATTCCCCAGACCATTAGGATGAATTACCATCAACACAAAAGACCCGGCCTTCTTGTAATCGAGCAAACTTCAAACCGCTGTGGTTACAAGTCATCTTCGACAAGTAAGATAAGCAAACGATGTAGCAGTGATATGCACGGATTAGCACATTCAACTGTTCGCAAAAGCAATGAGAGTCCTGTGAGCTTGTGCTCTGCGTCGAGCCGGCGGCGGTGACCCAGTCTGTTGCTTTGTTGTTTTAGTCGCAGGAGGCCCGGAGGAAAGCCGTGGAGGCTGCGCTGAGGCGCTACCGGTGCACGCAGCACCCCGAGGAGAGCCTGTCCGAGCCACTGTGAGGGTGCACGCGCACGCGCACCCCTCTCCGCCTCACCCCCTCCGTCTCGTCGTCGTCCCCCCTCCCCCAATACATTACTCTCTACTGATCAACCCAGCAACTGACACCTCTGCTGTTGTGTGTGTGTGTGTGTGTTGATAGCACGGGCTCTATTGTGTTGCGTACACGAATGTATTCACAAATTCGTGGCCCGTAATTACAAAAGGCAACTATTGTTATCACAGAGCTTGTCGATTGTTGGTGCCTTCGGAAGGGTCCTCGGTGCGCCTCCACGCCCACCGAAAATGCCGAACAGGCAAACCTCTGTACTGATTGGGAACATGACCGAGTGCTTTGGGGTCGTCGCCCAAACCCGGGTCTCGATTGCGGAGCGCTTAGCTCCAAGTCGTTGCGCCACATCCCACCCCCATAGTCCACACCTGGTCCCAGCAGGCTTGATTAAATTTTCTTAACTGCGAAATCACACAATTGTTTTGCAATTCGATCCTCTCTCGGCTAAAGTGTCTTCTTTGTGGGATTTTGAAGTAACCAATTAATTCTCGTAGTCATGCAGCCTCTGATAATTATATGCAAATTGTTTTCGCACTTCAACTTTTGTATTTCGAATTGACAAGTCACCAACCCGAGTGTCGCTGCCTTTCACATGTAGCTGTCGCCCTTCTAAGGTTCTGCCTTGCCTCCGCGTTGAGCACGAATTCTGTTGTGGTCGAACCTGCCGCACTACTGCGGGATCTTGTGATTTAGCTGTCCTGCGATTCGGCCTCATGCAATCTAATTACAGCCCCCCACAATCGGAGCCTTGTTCAGCTTTTGAGCGTCTTCTGTTAGTGTGACATCAATTTTATTAGACGAACCAGGGTTAGTGGTGAATTTCGACCCTGTTTCAACTTCGACATCCCCCAAGTTACGGCCTTCTGCGCGATGTTGGCAGTCCGTGTCTGTTGTAGCCAAATTTGCGCATAATTCTAAGCGGAAATGCCAAGCCCAAATAGACCCTCGTTAGCGGTCTGCAGTGTGAAGTGTCGCGGCTCCCACGCTGGACTTGGCGTGGGGCCTCGGGACTCAGGGAAACTCGCTCATAGCCAAACCTCTCCGCATTGCTTCTTTCGTGCATGGAGTCAGTCAATTAACCCTCGACACAGCTCCGCTCACAGCCAAAATTTCTTCCTGCAAGAGGCAATTTACTTTGTCCATTGTCAGCATCCACAAAGTGGCCATCCTAGCGGTCAGCAGCCCAACACGTCGCTGCTCACATTAATCACGGTGTGGTTGATTATGATTTTGCAAGTGGGTGGGTGGGTGGCTGTGGCTGGGTTATCCGCTGCTCACATTAATTTGGAGAAAGAGACTGGGTTTTTATAGCCCGTCTCCCCAGGGGAAACATTTGGAGGCTTAATTAAACTTTACATCGCCTCCACGTTCTCTGTTAAATGCCAACCACTATTCGCCCTAATTAAACATTTTATGTAAAAAGCTAATTGGCTCAATCATTGACGGACCCTGGGAGGTCGTTTTTCGTCAAAATTTACCCGCTAGTGTTATACAAAAACGAAGCAATTGCCTGTACCTCCTAAAGGAAATTCTTTGCAAATCTTGGGGAGGCTGTAAAATAATTCCTTTTGTCAGTTCTTAGGCTTGCAGTGTGTGTTCATTGGGACCTTCCTTCTGATTAACCAACTTTGACTTGTCTTTTGTGAGCATTCAACTAACAGACATTAATCGTATTTTTTTTTAACATTTGTCCTACTGATTCTCATAAGTGATGTTGGGGTGTACTGTCACTAGCGTCTCAAGGCCACATTTAAGCGGGAATTTTTCAGCGCTCTGGAGTGGAACCGGCCGCGTCTGGGCCCGCAGAAGCGCCGCGTTCCTTCTCTAGTGACGCACACAAGCTCGCCAGTGCCAGTTCAGGTGAATTTCTAATGTTTTATCTGAAAATGAACGTAACATGTCTAATACTGGCGGTGGCAAACATTTCCGCCGGCAAGCGATCACCAGAATATTGTGCTGTCTGGCGTTTTAGGCTAGGCGACTTGAAATATTCTGTACAACTTACCCCAGAGCACGTAGCTAGCCCTGGGCTGGCCTATTCTCGCTGCGAAACTCTACGTAGTGAATATAAATGTGAGTGACGGTATGACTTCTAAAAGAGCTCATTTCTAATTATCATTCCGCTAAATAACCTCCTTTGTTGGACCTAAACCTTAAATTTTTTGGTTACTTGTTTAAGCTGATTTCGTCGACATCCCCACCTATCTCAATGTTTTGCAGAATGTTTTAACTGGTCGCCAGAAAGCCTGCCAAAATCATCCTCCACCACAACAAAATGAGTTTTTTTACTGTAAATTTTCACTTTAAAAGGACGTTGGATTGGGCATAACAGTTTATTGACATGTTTTAAGAATGTTTAGCTCGCTAGCTCCACATCCCTTTACTCTGGTTTTTTGTGTTTACATCTCCAGCAGGTTAACTTAGACGTAATTGGGGTAACATTTATGATCCCTTTTAAATAAAACATGCATACCAAGTCTAAAATCCATGATCTGCTAACATCAGTGGGGCCTATAATGCTGCCTGCCCAAGTGATTCCCCATGTACCAATTTCACTCGCCCCCTTGACCCGCAAAGTGTACACTTTGACTTTTATTACAAATTTAACTTGGTTTGTTTAGCCCCCCTCTCAACTTTTGGGGGGGTCGGTTGCCCGTAAAAGCCCACAGAGCGGCCCGTTTTATTGCTCCTGCAATTTTGCGCATTGGGACAACTCTCAAGGCAATTGCGCGGTGCCATGTTTCGTGTGCATACTTCACGGCCGTCGAACGACTTGTAGCGTGCAACCCTAACAGGTTTATGCGGGTGCGTACAACATTCACCCCACGTCCTTAATGTATTTACTGTAACTAGTGGGACATCCGAACCTTTTTCAGCCGCATTCATTTCCACGAGGTGGGGACAGGAAGTTCGTAAAATGTGTCGTTGCTAGGATATTTCAATGGCCCATGAAGTGGGCAGAGCCGACATACCGAGGTGTGGCGATTAAAAAATCCCAAATGGCTCTCTACCTGTCTTGCTAGAATGCAGTTCGAGTTGGAAACCGCGTGCTGACGAAAAAGGAGCAATTTGTTAAACGAGGTCCAGCTCTCCCCAGAAAAGTGTTACCTCTTATCGAAAAAAATTAAAATTTTTAAAGAAATTTATGTCAGCAACCTACATGTTTAAATGTGCATTTTAAATTCACACACTTTGCTGGGACATTCCGAAGCCGATCTTTAATGTCCACGGTGTACGTCATAAGTGTGCCACTCAGGACAACGGTATAGGTGCTTCTGTACTTGATTTAGGAGCTTGACTTATCATTGTAAAATGTCCATCCAGAGCCCGTAATGAACCACCAAGTTGATCTGGAATCTTAGAAGAATTTTTCATCGACCCTTCGCTCCCTTAGTTGACATGGAGTTTCTGTAAGTAAGGTTGCTTGCGTGCCTCTCTTCACTAAGCAGTTATAAGGAAACTGCAGTTTGATACAGGGACCGCACAGAAACCACTTCATCTTCCACCTGAAGGCATCAGCGGCACAGGCTGAAGCAAGACAAGTCGTAGAGCACTCGCTGTCCTCTCCGGATGAAGCAGGAACGAGGGCCAATGACGTTTTGGCTGTCATTAACCACACATTAATCAAACTCCACTTTTGAAATGAAACTTCGAGTAGCATGAAGGCGAGCCCCGGTTGTAGACAGAGAGTAAAAGAAAACAAAGCCGTCGACAAAAATAGGAAAAGTGAGCAAATGTTGCTGTTCTGAATTTACCTGCCCTACATGTCACACACAATCGTCTCCTAAATATCATATTAAGTTTTTGGAAGTACTTCGAGTCAAGTCAGCATTTAGTTTTAAAATCGCCCTTTTAAAGTCACCTAATGGCCTGTCTTGCTATGAAGAATCCGATTTTAATTACGACCGAAAGTGTGTTTGTGGGATCAAAAAATGCACTACACCTCTCGGCACAATAATTTGTATTTTTGACTTAATCATATTAGGATAGCTGCCAGTTTCGGTTTCGATTCTTAATTTCGTTTAATCACTTAATTGTTTTCATTCCACCCGCTGAGGATGCATGGAACAACCTACGTCGATCACAATTTAATTGGTCCTAATGCCCGTTCGGCCCACTACCACCCTCCTGGGGTATCGACAGTCATGTTCTCTCTCGCGCGCGAAGCCCCGTTGTGATTGGTTAATGCTTCGAGCGGTGGGCCACTTAGCGCAAAGCCATGCCCCCTCCGATGCCTCTCTCGCGTTGTCGTTAACCAATGGCGTATCAACATGACCAGAGGTTTCTGTGGTCTTTTTAAACCAACGCATTCAAAATCACAGTTCAAATAAAGTACTGTGCAGCAGTAATCGGTATGTGCCCTCCTGCATTAATAAAGACCTTTGCCTTGGGAACTTTCTTACTTCGGACTAGGTTTTTACTCATTTTATGGTCATTGAAAGGCTGGGAGTTTGTGCTAACCTAAGCGGATAAACTCGTTTCGAGAATTGACATTTCGGCGATATGTGCAGATGGGTTATCCAAGCTTAGAACCACGTTTGTTTTAAAATTCATCATCTTACTGTTCACTCTTTCAATTTTACAGGTTTTAAGTGTGGCTGAATATTGACCCACTAAGACTTTTAAAGCTACTGTAGCACCATCTACTAATCTAGGCAATTTATCCAACCACGCCGGCTAAGTAGTATAAAGGACCTGTACGATTTACCGAACTCCGTCGCCATAGGAAAGACTGTACAAATTAGAGCAAAAGAAAGAAAGAATATTTTTCTACTTATGAGCAAAGTCACGTAACTTTTGTTTAACTACCTGGAATTCACAACTGAAATTTCCGATATTAGGCGTTAAAATTAGCCGTCTACCAGGGAACACCTCCTCGTTAATTATATGCACGTTTGGCATGATGCGTGACTGTTTGTCTGCTAACAGGGACGAAAACATGCACAAATCTTTCAACGATGCGGTTCCTCCGGCTCCACACTTCCTTGTCGCATGCTCGCACAACGAGATTCTCAGTCACCTGGCCACCGGATTTCCAGCCCTCGATGTTTGTTTCCCAGCTCCCTTCCCACTCCCCCTGCCGCCCATCCAGTTGCCTCCCTCCTTCTGCAGCCCGCCCCCCACCGCCCCCTTTCTTGCCTCCTCCGCGTCGTCGGTGGGCCTCAGACAGCCCCCAGACGATGAACACAGCTCTCACGTGAGTTTCCACGGTAAGAGGAAATTACGGGAGAACGACGGAACAGCTGAAGGGGCCGGGCGGCAATCGATGGCCGGAGGTGACCCAAAGCGATACCGCACAACCTACTCCCCCTATCAAAGCAAGGTGCTGGAGGAAGTCTTCCAGACCGAGCGGTACATCTCCAGGCCGCAGAGGGCGCAGCTGGCGACACAACTGCAGCTGCCGGAGAACACGATCAAGGTGAGTGGATTTCTCCACGATCGGCTCAACTAAGCTTACAACTGTGATGTAACTGCATAAATTAAACATTAATCTTTTTCAATAATCTAAATATTCTTCCAAGACCAGTTCAATTTAATCTCAATAGTAAGCTTCGTTTGGTGCTGCTAAATCACTGGATCATTTGTGTTAGGTTGGGACCATTCTGATGCGGCTAAGTTCTGGGAATAGCCTGAACCTAGTTAATTAGCCGTATTTAAAGTCCTGGTTTATCGCAATTAAGGCAACCACAAAGCAGAATCCATCTAATGCGATTTAGTAACCTGATGCCACTTTAGAAGCACGTAGGCCCCCAATACGTATTCTTGATTGACGTCGGCCTGTACTTGTCTAGTACGCAAGTGCACAAGTAGTCTGGAGGGTGGGCTTGAAGTGATTTTTGACACCGCACAATTTGAGTCCAAGCCTGTACGCGGAACAGTCGGGCAGTGAGGTAATAACTCCACGTCCTGCCGAAGGCCCGTCCAGTTGTGCTCGCAAGCCGATAGGCTTCAGACCCACATTAATGCACTTACAAGAATCTCACTTACGGGCTCTCTCGTGTCTTGTTGAAATCGCCTCTACTTGTAAGAACCCTTGCCCTCCAGAATGGAAGGTGTCACCGACTTCATTCATGGCCGGTTTGTCCGTCTACCGCTGTATTCGGCACACCCTGTTTTTAGATGTTTTTTCCCTCGCAGCCAATGAGAATAACAGTTCGTTTTGCAGTGACACTACCCAAGCATTGAACGCCCTATTGTACTTACAAGAATTTTACCATCCGTCTTTAGGTTTGGTTTCAAAACAGGCGGATGAAGGAGAAGAGACAGGCCATGATGCTGCCAAGTATAGCAGGTGAGGCGCACTGCATAACACTATGCCATTAGATTCTTGTGGTTTTGATGTGAAGACATCCCACACTAATTGCTTCCGCATTCATGACATTGTGTCAGAAAATACTGTGACATGTTATGAGGACCCACTTAATGTCAAGAAGACCGGTCAAAAACCATGGTTAGTAATGGCGAACGAAGTTTCTAAGCAAACGCCATTGCCGCCACAGGTGAAGTAGTGAAAGTGGAGTCGATTAAAAACGGCACTCAAGACCACCCATTCTCGCACTTTCATGTTCGTCTCAAAGTCCGTCTTGGGTCTTATTTCTTTGCTTCAAGCTTCTTTAGGGAAATGCGTTCTCCTAATCACGAGTGACTGCATTGTAATGATGTTGGTGACACCACTCTTCACTGGTTTAACGGCTGAAATTAGCCTCTCCGACGCACCGGTAATGCCCACATGTTAAATGATGCTGTCGCCTGATAAGAGGGGGACCTTGTTGTTGATGGATAACCCGATGGAAAGTCGTTTAGTCGTGCCGAGTGATGACCCCGGTCATCGTTTTATGGCCCTGATAATCCACTTTAATAGCGAATTGTTGTATAAAATTTGATAACACACTCGCGATAACCAATTTTTGAAAACAGAACGAATGGTAGTTCGATGATTCCATCCCTAGACTACAGTTAGGACGTAGCATGCCACCCCACCCGCAGTGAAGATTTAGAGGGTGGTGGGCAATTTGCTCGTTGAGGCAAATTACGAAGGCCATGAGTGGTAGCGACTCGACCAATTAGCCAGGTTACTTGTCGCTCTTATTAAAAGTGTTGACGAAGCTGAATGACAAAACACGGGGCACTAGCCAGTGCTCGGTGTGTCGTCTTGAGTTTGTTTGGTGATGCCTACATCCCTCCCTTCAGATTCCATCGTCGGTTTCGCATTCTCTTCCAAAAATTGCTTCGCCGCACTCGGTATTGGTGGCTACTAGTTTTGAGGAAAGTGAGGTCATTTATCCACTTCACACCGTGGTTAAGCAGCGTACCTAGGCTCCGTCATAGCCCTCTACCCTCCTCATGTAGCTTGATGAGTCACGTGGTAGCTGCCCTCCTGCTGGGCATTCAAACTTCAGACGACTGGAAGCCCTGTTTTCCACAAATTTAGCCCGACTCAACGTCCTAAGCACTTACTTCAAGACTTGTTGTATTATGCAATTATTTTCAGACAATTAATTTGAAAGAATCCCATAAATCAGTTTAAGTATATCTTCTATTGTAGAAGGTCATTACAGGTTTCCTTTTTGAAGTATTCCCTCACCTCCAGTGTACGTCGTGCTATAAACACGTCATTGGAATTGCCCCAGTACCTAGTCCGGCATAAGAGTTTCCTTTTCAAATTACCACAGCATTCCAGATGTAGGCGAAAGAAACCGTTCAAATCGCACCTAGTCGAGCTTACCTCAATTTATGGTCACAAGACTAAAAGGCAGCATTTCAATAATGCAAACGGTGGCACGCTGATAAACCATTCTCTCTCAAAAGTGCAAGGTTAGTCCAGGCGGAAGGATGTAAAATTGACGACAAAAATGTTAATGTTGACGAATGTTCTTAATCAGGATGGCCTTCGTGGGCAGAGTGTAGTCATCTGCACCAGCAGAAGGAGCATATTTCGTCAAATTGGCACCCGTGCCTGTCTGGGACACGGTTTTTCAGATTTTTAAGTAGAAATGCTGGAAGAGGACAACGTGGCTTAGACCTTTGAAATCTCTTACCACTTCTCCGCAACACCGAACCCCATTATTAAATTTATTTAACCACGGTCGCCTTGGTTCATTCATTCACCGCCAGCGTGGCACTACCGGTCAGAGCTTCCAGCATCGTACACGGAAGCACTAATTTCGTGGATGTGATCTGTCTGACAAAGAAATCCATATTTCAAAAACTTGGCGCTAGAAAATCAAATCAGTGGTAAAGTAACTGACCCAAATTTACTTTTTTACGAAACGCTGAAATTCAACAATTAAGATTAGGGCGAGGGCTAGCAGACCTATAAACTGTAACAGGAATTATTCAAATCTCAGCGACCCTTAATAAACCGGAAATAGGAAAATTTCAGTAAGACAGAAAAGTGGATTTCTCGCATTGTCCACCATTACAGGGGTTCTCAATAGGACAAAGAAGGAGTATAACTCACCAGTAGCAAAGACAAATCACATTAATTCCGTTTTCGTCCTTTTATAGGAAATGATCCGTACCTTCGTGAGACTCTACTTAATGTGGCAAAACTCTACTACAACTATCAACAGCAGTCTCAGCCGGACAGTGGGACAGCCGCGGAGGAGCAGCACAGCTCACCGCCCGCCTCAACAGCGGGACGGTCGGAGTCGTCCGCCTCGACCTTGAGCCCCTCCCCTTCGGTCCGGTTGTCCGCCTCCACGTCCGCTTTCTCTGTGGACAATATCTGCTCTCCCAAACAACCACCCGCCAAGACCCCTGAGAAAGCGAAGATCTTTAGGCCGTTTTGAGTATGCTTAGTGGCTACGCATTACACTAAAACAATTTTTTTGTAAATGTGCACTCTTGCGTTTTGTGGTGACTTCCTTGTACCATAGACAAACTCCCACTGTGTGCAGGTGTTCACTGTGGCAATAATAATAATATGAGATGAGCACAGACCCTAACCCAACGACTTGTTCCGTGGCACCGCCCTGAAATGGCCGTTTTGTGAACACGAGGTCGCGTCGTGGGAAGGCAAGCGAAGTTGATGTGAGAAGTTGTCCTCCAAATTTCAGTGGCCTTGGTGTGTCCTTTGATCGCAGGAACACATGATCGTAACGGTAGCTATGACTCAAACGCCATTTAAACCTTGTTCTCGTGTTTCTAACCTCCAGCCAACCAAGTTCTTACCTGAATGTTCTCGAGATTTTTGTAGTTTCAAACTTACTCGTTTTTACTACCACACTCGCCTACGACCCAGACAATGCTAATTACCACGGTGTGTAACGGTCAGAAGTGCACAAATACAAAGATTATTTTATGGTGTCTTGCCAGCAAATTCTCACAATGTCCGCACACCCAACAACCTGTCTGAAGCTAGCCCTAAGCTCAGCGTTGTTGCAGCTTTAACCAGTTGTGCTGTAGTCTAGGCGTTATGTATCAAGCGTAAATTACACTCCATGACATCATAACCTTTGTAAACCGCTATCGTTTGCTGAGTCAGTGCGTTGCAAGCCAACATGCAGAGCTCTGGAAGTGACTGAAGGCTTCCAAGTGCGTTGTTGATAACACCGCGAATGAAAATGAGACCAAGACTAGGGAATGTCGGAGTGGTCTTGCAAAAGCCAAAAGTCAGTTCGTTCCAAACAAACGCATGGTCTAGCAACACGGTTAATTATAATCCTAAAAGGTCGATATTTATTTAGCATCACCGAATAACTAGCTGAAGCCGTGCATTCACGTCGACAGCTTGATAAATAGCAACCTCAAATGGCCGACAGCGATTCACAAGTTCTGGTAAGGAAATAATCAACATAGCACCCGTCCATCCGCTTCGGACCGTGAGAGATACGATGGGCGACTATTCCAGCCCCGGGACCACGCCGTAAGTCCATCCAACACCACGTTCACTAAGTGATGATCACAATTAACCAAAAGTCCATCTGCTGATGGCTATTACCGCAGTCCGAGACCCAAATTACGCCCAAGCCCGTTCTTACTTCAGAGTCCTCATTTTGTGAATGTGGGGTGCATGGGAATGCATAGAAATAACCGCTCGCATGCCAGTGACTGCGTTGGATTATCAAGAAACGGGCGTTGTGCTTCAAACAAAACTCATGAAGACCTAGTCCTCAAGGATGGCATCCAATATACTTCATGCGCAAATCAAGTTTTCTAGCATGTAGAATTTTAACATGATATAATGAACCCTTCACATGTAAGAGATGCACTAGGATATTGCTCATTTCGCAATTTATGTTGACGAACTATGTGATTTACCCTCAGACATCTAATCTTGTTGTGGGCCCCAGCATGTGGTCTTGAACCACGCCGGGGCCACGGAATTGGCCCTGGCCCGATTACGCTTGCCTAATATCCACGATGAAGAAAACGATCGGAGAGGACGTGGACACAACCGTTTACTTCAGAGCTCAACCACGTTGGTGTCGTTTCATGTCGTACGTGGCATTTGCGCGTGTGTATTTACACCTCGGATGTGTGAGTCATACATGCGCTAACATCGAGACCAAGGTGTGGAGATAATCCAATATAAATATACGTGTGAATGAGGGGGGAGTTGAGGATCCGCGCGGCTGGCGTCATGATGCGAAAAGAGGAACCCTGTGTTGGAGGCAGGAGTGATCGGATTAAGGGGTGTGAATAAACACGATTCACAACAATCTGTTGAATTCACAAAGGGTTTGTCGGAAATGGCTTGCAGAAGTACCCATCGATAACACGAGCAAAGCACTCTTCAGGATGGTGTATACAACGTCACACATACGGACACGGACACTTTTCAGGACATTGCTGAACCCAACTTCGTGCTAGGTGGCCTTTTACAAATTTGATTATAGGCCAGACCATCACTGTGGATCCGTTGCTTGCATAAATCCTCTGTGGGTATTTAAAAGTCCCACTTACAGACATCACACCACCAAACAGTACCCAAAGCAAGAGATTACACCGGCATGACGAGTAGTTTATTTCGGCGGCTTTGCCTAGGGGACAAAGAAACAAAGCCTACCAAGGGGAATAACGAGCCGTCAAGTTTGGACGGAGCCGATGCAGCGCCGCGGCAATGAAACACCACCACTAGGGGGGCTAAGGGTGCACCGACTCAAGTCACGACGAGACGCCGGAACGGGAACGGGCGCGCGTGCAAAGCGACGTGAGAACCCGTTCGCGCGTGGGCAAACCTCAGTCCGCAGTGCGCGTGTGACACGAACGCCCGAAGGAGTGAAACTACGAGGACGGGATCGCGTGCATGACACTTCTAGTGGAACGGCTTTATGAAGTCTGATTTTCAACCGCACGACTTCACAGTACACTCTCCGTTGTGGAGTCATGGCCCAAGGAAAGCGCCACCAGCGACCAAAATCACCGTGCCGAACTCCTTTTCTAAGGCAACTTCTCGCAGCCTCAACTCATCTCAATTCTCAAAGACATCACCAATAGCAAAAAAGGAAACATGTCCCAGAAAATTTTGCCCTTATTAGTTTCTTTTATTCTAAACTCCAGCGAGCAATCTGACAGAACAGCATGTAACGCGAACTATATTCAAATTGTTATCAAATAAAAAATAGTACAATCGAAGATCATAAAACTTCAAGAACAGCGGCTATGTCAGGAAAGAGCCTCCGACCAACGTTGCTAGAAGCATCACCGACGGCCCTTGGATTCGGTTTGGTACTCAGCATGGCATTGAATTCAACTGCGGATGAATTCTGTCGAAATCTTCGGCTTAGTTGTTTTTTTGCTTGCTGAAGAGACCATAGATGGGATAAACGACTCCACAGTCCACGACACATCGAACCCAAGTGCACCTCTGGTGGGTTGTCCAAATGAGATGCAGATTTGGAAAATGAATAGACATCTCTGGGATTATAAAAAGATAAATGAAGGAAATGGAGTTTATACTGATATTAATTTAGTAGGACGGAGTACTTTGGAAAAACCCATACCGAATTATGCTGATTGCTGCCTTTAGTCTCCCGCGTTGCATGAGGCTTTGAGCATAAAAAAGCCGGCAACGAGCCTGAAAAACTGGAATCTTCATAGAAAGTGCCAAGTACATTTGACGCAAGGATATTTCTCCGGCGATTTCAGCCTTGGTGGCAAAATACGGAAGAAATGAGTTTAAAGTCATTCTTTATTCTGGTACGAATTTGGCAACTAATAAAATGCCACATTTGCAGGGCAATGGAAAGGCAACAACTAATAAATTACAAGTACTTGGATTTAAAAACAATAAATTAGCTAAAACACCGTTTCTGGGAGGTGACGATGTTACAACCTGGCATCTAAAGAACCGTAGAAATTCTAAAAATGACACGTTTAGACAGCAGATAAGTACCTTACTTAGCCACAGAGGTCAATTTTGCCGTGGCCAATTTCACTGATATTTACAGGAGCAACGGTAACTTCGTGACCGGGCAGCCATCGTGCATAAACCGAAAGGCCAATATTCCTTCCGCCTAGCATGTAACAAACTAACACAGAGGGATAGCGAAAATGGTGAAGTGACATACAGCGTCCTCAAATTTTTCCCCTAGAGACGAGAATCCGCCACCTAGAGTGCTAAGCCACGACATGGCCTCTTGCAGAATGATATGTCTGTACAGGTGATAGGCTACGACCCTGTGGCCAGAGAAGTCTATGTCGTAGATACCAAACGGTGGCGAGAGGATGACACAAAGCTGCCTCTTGCGCATCTTCGGTAGAGTTGGTGGCAGTTTGTTGAAATGTTTCCGAGTAACCATGATCCAAACAACACGCGATGTTGGACCTGCTTCACAGCTGCACTGATGGCACTGAGCGGTCAAGAGGGAGACGGTGCCAGAGTCGTCGGATGTGAAACACGCGCCATATTTTGGAAGGATTCGCTCGACTTCTGCACGAATAAGGGCCTGGAGGAGATGATGGCAGGGGCTGAGAAAAATTGGCCTGCTGTCAGTACGAAGAAGACGAGCTGGTATTACAACTTGGGGGTCAGGCATGGCGTTGAGAAATCTAAAATGGGGATTTACAAGAACTGACCCCTAAAACGTCACAAGGCAGGTTCCAAAACTTCTCTCAAGGGTATTTGCTACGCAATGCATTAGCACGACAAGAGATAGTGAGGCCGAGCAATGGTCACTACAAGTAGACTGATAAGCACAACGTAAAATAGTTGAGAGAAATTTAAGAGCTGGAGAAAAAGCTGCAAAACGATTAATGTGATGCCATATGAAATGCCTCGATCATGCATCCAGCTCACAAGCTCCCTCTAAAACAAATACTTTTAACGCCAAATTCGTGAAATGTCACGAGTTTTCAAGCTGACACCTGTGTTGAGGCCCTTTACCACACGAAGTAACCCAGGAAGGAAATAACCCCAGAGATGGTAGGGACGACTGTTTACTAGGCAGTTTAACAAAGTCGTGTCGAGTGTTTATAAAGTTGAGTGGACATATAGAAAAAAAGGCGTCTGTGAGGTCACATGACTAAAGCGGGTGATGGTGGGAAATGCAGATGGGTTAATGAACCAGCACGCCGTGAAAAGGGGTAACGTATGTTGGAAGCTGCGACGACTGGGCTATTGGACGTGAATCAACAGGACTCACTATACCTACGTCGGCGCAACAAAATGCATTCCTCGCATCCACACTGGCTTGTTAGTACGCCCAAACAGGTTTGACCTACCATGGCACTGAATACTGCACGCGAGTTCCAAGTCACATTACACTCTACCTTGCATTTCAGAACTAGTATTTCGACGTTCTCAGTTAAAAATACAAATCACATATGCTGATTATATGCCAGTGATACTTGGGAACCAAACATCATTGT